ATATATATATATTGCAGTCTGTTCAACCAATGCAGACAACAAAGCATGCAGTATTTTCATCTCATGAGGCATCCAACAATTACTGGAGAAATTATCCTAAAACTGGGCATAAATATGTGTGCATTTCATGTCTTTTATTGTTACAAATAGTGATGTGATATTTTGCTGTGAAGTATAAAATGTGAAGCCTGGGAGTGGTTTACAGCTAACTTATTAGAGAAATGAGTTTGAATGGGGCCTGTTGTAGTGACTTGATTTCCCCAGTGACCCACAGACCTTTTTTTTTCTGACTGCTGGAATGAAAAAGACCTTGAAGAAATTCTTTAAAGGCACTGAACTTTGTATGTCTAAGAAAGAAAAATGCTACAAACCAACTTTAACAGCTTTTTAACATTTTACTTTCKCTTTGTTGTTTAGTAGAAAAATATTCTGCAATTCTCTAAAGCTGGCAATAAATAAGAAAAATAATGAACAATCATAAAAGCAGTTATTCTAAATGCAATAAATTAAACTTAAATAGCAACTACTACATTAAAAAATAGTCCATTGAGTGGCTGTCAGTCATTGTGTTTGTGGTTCCTGGTTGATGTCTTCAGTAGAGGCCATGCAGACGCGCTGTGTAGTCTTCCATAWCAAAGCTGGGTTGTAATCCTTCAACATTCAGTATTTGCTCATCTGACTGAAACAAACCGTCTCAGTCAGATGAGCAAATACTTAGGTTTTTTTTAATAGTTTCTGAGCTGTGGGCAAAGCTGATTTATTTCACTCCTGTTTTAAGTTTCAGTGCCTCAAAAACCGACTCATATTTTCTGAGGTGACAATCTAATTTCTGAGAGGAGAAACAGGTCAAGGCAAAAATCTGAACTGAAACAGCATTTTTTTYCCCCCTGCAAACCAAGTGAAGGTGCCCTTGAACCGATCAATTTGGAATCCTTGAAGATACTATAATTCAGACCTTTCAAAGTAGACTTCTGTGGGAAGGTTGTGAAGCTTGAATGTATTATTGCACATTCTAATTTTGTGTCATTAGGACTGAGTATTATTTGTATTTCATGCAAACCAAAATCCTAATAAAATTTAGCTCCTGCAAACATCCATGCATACAGTTGTAATGATGTTTAAATCGTTACATTTGTATGTTGATGGGAAGAAACAAAATGTTGTATTTGTAATTCTATTTGACCTCTGTTAGCATCTGTTAGCAGTAAGGTAAATTATCATGTGCTGCTGCATGCCGTTTGTTATGTCGTTGAGTAAATTAG